TGGCTTAGACTTCTCAGAAGAAAAGGGAAGGTGATTTCTTCCAGGGAAGTGTATAGAAAGGTCACGGCACACCCAGAAACTCCAGCTGTGCACTGGTACTAGCTGGGGAGGGGAGTGTGTTCCTCCCTGCCCACTGCCTCCCTGTTCCCTCTCTCCCACCGAAGGCTCCAGGTGCTGTTCAGGGTGTCTGGGGTCACGGCCAGAAGAGACAGATCCTCAGGGTCAGGCTGGAGGCGGCACCTTCCTTGTACCAAGTCCTCCCAGCATCAAGAATTCAGCCAGTGTCCTGGCAAGCATAAATATTTAATGGCATTGTAGGTATATATAATTTGATCCATATGTCAGCTCTAAGAGGGCCTTTAAGGAAGCTCACCTATCATCAAGTGATCTGGGAAGGAAACCAGCCCCTCCTGGAGCAGGGGCAGAGGGGAGGGGGGCCAGGGAGTGAGGTCCTCCCCATCCTCTTCCTGATTTCTCTTTCTCTGTTAACACCCACTGGCCCACCCCAAAGAGAAACTGACAAGGAATTATCATCTTGTAGCCAGTAATCGAGGGGCTGTCAATTTAGAATTGTCTAGGAAATGCAATGGGATATGTTAAGTTGAAGTTGCTCATACATCGTTCTGAGATCTTCTAGTATTTCATGACTAGATGATTGTGGTGCCCGGCTGCTGGGACTATTAGGGCTGGAGCTGCCTCTTCTGCCTGCACAGCCTCCCGCTTCCTCCAGTCCTTCCTGTGCTCCCGATTTTAACTCAGCCTAGGCACCAAGACAGTCACCAAGACGGCATAGTACTGGAGTCATGGGAGAACCAGGTAAAACCCAGCTCAAATCCATAGACTCCAGAGCTGCCTGAGACCCCAAACACACAGGAATCTAGGAGAGTAATCTGAAGCCGAGAGACCAGGACCTGGCTTTCCAAAGGTCACGCCGCACGCCTGCTCCAGAGCTGGGGTGAAAACCATCGCATCCATTTGGCTTCAGAGTGTCAGCTCATGCTTTAGATCGGCGGGTGTCCGCCTTTCATCTGGTCTCTCTCACACATATCCATAGACGTCTCTTTCTAAGATTGCTGCCCTGATTCTCTGAGAGGTGACTGGGACCCTGGAAGCATTGGATGGCCACTTACCTGCCTAACAGACATGAAATTACTTCCCGCTAAATGGAACTTCCTAAAGAGCCCTCGCCTGGCCTCTGAGGGCCTCCAGCCTTCCTTGTGAATCACAGCAGTGCGACATCACTGGACGACATCCAATGTGACATGTGTGATCGGTTCTGCTGTTGGACACACTTGAGTGGCTCACGCTGTGAAGATGGGACCTGGAGACCCGGCCCGGCATTGGCCGTCTCAGGAGGTGGCTCTTTACCATCACACAGTGCTGTGGAGGAAGTGACAGGTCTCAGAACAGTTCGCCAAGGTGTGGCATTCGAAAGCTCTGTGTCAGGGTGCGTGGACCGAGTAAGTTATCTAGTTCCGTCTTTTCATTTTGCAAGCAACAGCAGCAAAGCCCTGAGGAGGGAAATGATTTGCCTAAAGGCACGCAGCAGCGAGAAGAGGAGCTGACTGAGTAGAAGCCAGGTCATGTCTCTGTGGCTGTGGAGTGTGACCTGCCCCTCGAAGTGGCTGGGCTCTCTGGCCTTGTTTTCCTTTGGCTGAGGTTAAAATGCAGTGTGCACTCGGAGCCCATCAGGCAGCTGGGCAGTTCAGACGAACCTAACAGAGGCCGCTGGGGTGGCTACCTACAGTGTGCAGTGTGCTGAGCTCCATTAAGGGTCGGCCTGGTGCTGCAGGGCCCAGCAGCAGCAAGTGGGTGCCTGTGGGCAAGGACCACAAGTGGGAGCCCCCCACCCTCCGATTTCAGTGCTGTGGGTCAAGAGCCAGGGATGGTCCGAAATCTCGGCCTGTGTGTGTTGAAGACGTAGTTGGAGAAACACTTTTAAGATGCTCAAGTGCCCTTGGCTTATAACAAGATGCTCAAAGGTCCTGTATTACCGAGGGAATGAGTGTGCAAATGGGAGCCGCTACAGCGCAGGGACAGCTTGCACTTTGGGGAATCTCCCCTCCCCTGCCATCTCGTTGTCCATCATTTATTTGCCCAATGATCCTGATGGAAACGCAGGGTAGATATCACTCCCAGCACCCAGTTGGTAGCTCCCATTCTGAAAGGAGCAGGACCTCTGCTCCCGGTTCTCTGAACTGCCTCTATCTGGGTGGAGTAGATTAGTTACTTCTGAGAAGAAGCTGTGCTCTCTGCCGGCAAAGCTGCCTGCTTTGAACCGTACTTGAAAAGCCACTTGCAGTCTGTACCTGCCTCACTGAACACCTATTTCCAGAATGTTCCAAAGAAAGCCATCTCCCGCGCAAACCTCTGAAGATGTGGCTCAAAGGCCGGAGCCTGGAGGCCCAATGCAGAGGGGTGTGTGGGGGCGGCACGTGGACCACAGCTGCCCTGTTGATAACAGATGACGCACAGTTGCCGGAAGGAGTTTCCCGGCATACGATCTAGTTCCCGTTTGCGATGTGTGACCAGTCCCAATTGTGGAAGTCACACATCTTGATGCTTTTTCCGGAGCTGATGCTTTAGAGGTTTGAGGTGGATCAAATGCTCTTTATACAAGCTGTTAGCATCGGAGATGCTGTCAGTCATGAACCCTGATGGTCATTTTTTCCTTCAAAAATATTTCTGTGAGCTCTGTCAAAGGGCCGAAGTTTGACTCCTGGCAGGAGATCACTTTGCAAAATTGCTTAATTGCTAACAGTTTTCTCATCTGAAAAATGGGCATCTTAGTAAGAGTCTTCCTCCTGCAATGCTCAGAGCTCCCCCTGTGAAGCCCATGAGGCACTGCCTTTGTGGCTGGTGTCCATGATTATCATACTTGTTGACAGAGGTTCTGTCCACCTAGCTTTCCATTTCTAGTAGTGAACAGTTCTCCTGCCTCTTCCCTGACTCCTGGAGTGTGCAGAGCCCAATCTCAGGGCTGGGCAGCCTGTGTAGAGTGAGTGGCTCAGTGCCTGCTTCTACTTTCCAGGGACACCAAGGGTACAAGGTTTAGGAGCAGGTAAGGGTGAGATTACGGCTGGGGGGATGGTAGCCTGCCTCCCCAAAAACTCCAGACACAAGGACAAGCCAGCCCTGGCTTATTATCATAGAATTTTTCCAGATGTAAAACCACTTCCCCTCTGCCTGTCCCAGGCCGAGCACCACGAAGTCCTGCTGGTGACTTTCCAGTCTTTCCTTGCTGTAGTGATTTGTTCCCAAGAAAGCCAGCCTGAAAGCCACAGCTTTTAAGAGCACCTGGGTCTCTCTGGCCTTTTTCGGATGGCCTTTGGTGACTGCGTGTGTGTGTGTGTGTGTGTGTGTGTGTGTGTCTGTGTCTGTGTCTGTGTCTATGTGTGGTGTTGGGGCAGGAACTTAATCTGAGCCCCCCATAGGACTTCTTGAGCAGTCCAGCCAAGGTCAGCTGGCGGCTTGGGTGCCCAGCCTGGACGTGGGGATAGCTGCATAAAACCCTAGGATCCCTTTTCCTCATAAGCGGAGGTCTGGGCTGCGGACTGGGGGAAGGGTTCTTTGAGGCCGAGAACCTTTGAGGCATGGTGCCCTTTGTGAGAGTAAACCACCAGCATGCAGATGGGTGACACTTCCCTTACCCCCAGAAGAGTTTGGAAGTGGGGACTATTACTGACACAGTTAGTTGGATTACTGGAACATATGGGACAGTCCTTGACAACAAAGAATTGTTTCCACTTCAAATGCCAGGGTGGTGTCTTCTAAGAAGCACTGGCCCTGTGCCCAGGGATCTGGGTATCCAGGCAAGAGAGCTGCTGACAAGGACCCAGTGCTCACCCAGGAGCCCTGCTGTCCTGGGCAGGCACGTGAGGGTAGAGAGCCCAGCAACAGTGGCCAGCAGCCCCAGGGTGCAGAGCTGCAAAAGCCATTCAGGCTATTTAGTCAAAGGGCTATTCTGTCTGCAAACCAGAGGTCCTCTGTAGTGGCCAGTGGAGAAGGGTGCTGGCCCAGGCATGCCAGGGTCTGTTGGTAAGGCTTCGGGTTGCATTGTTTTTCAGGGTGCCCAGATCTCTCATCCAGAACCATTTGACATGCAGATGATCACAGATTTGTAAAGGCTGTTGTCATGGTTTTGTCTCTGGAAGATTGCTATGTGCTGATGAAAGCTCTAAAGCCAGCTCTGGGCTCTGGGTCCCGTGGACTCACTCAGAATGAGATAAGAAAAGCAATTCTGAGAGCTGCCTCTCAGTGGTTCTAGACTGGACTCAGTTAACCATTCAGCACCTCTCTTGATCTGAGATACAGGGTGGTCATAGAGGACCCTGATAGAGAAACTGTTGATGTTTTTCCATGATCTTTTCTGGGGTGTTAGGCGAGGTAGAGAAAACCATCTGCTTTTCTATGGAAAACCTACATAAGGCTTAGAGAGTGAATGAGCTTGCTCCAAACAAGGCAATGTGTGCCCTAAAAACTGAAGGCCTGACTGTAGGCCTGGGTGGCACCTATGGTGGAGGGCTGTATGGATGGGCAGCAGAGAACAGTTGAGCCCAGTGAGCTGCACGCACCCCCCCTGCGTATGAGGCTGGGAAACTCTTTGCCCCACGCTCCCCAGAGCCACCCACTCTCCTCTGTTTGTGGGCACCCTTTACTGAGCAGTTCCTTCCTTGCCAAACTCCTGCTCTTGTCATGGTTTTCCTGGAGAGTAGGTGGGGGTGGTCATGGTTTTGCTTTGATTTAATTAGGGATTCCTTCCGGAGGATGCAGGCTTTGGTTTGAACCACACGTATGGACCATCTCTGCAGGAGATGGGGTTCCCCGTAATATAGTCAGACTGGGAAACATTCCTCATGCCTTGGAGTTCATGGGGGTGGAAAGGATGGAGCCCCTGGGGGGAGGGGCTGCGGTTTGGGGAGAGTTGGCACTTGCACGTGTGTGACATTTTGGTGACCTGATTGATTTGCGGGAGCTTCATGTGCTCTTTTCCTTTGCAGACAGAGATTGCGAAGAGACTGAACACAATTTTAGCACAGATCATGCCTTTCCTGTCGCAGGAGGTAAGGCTTTCTCTTACTGTTGCTTCCTTTGCTTTCCAAGGCAGCCCAGAGCTGCCCTGTTCTCAGACAGTCCAGCCCAGCCCTGCTGCTAGCCAGGAGTATACAGAGTCTTCTCCATTGCCACATCCGAGGGACCATTTGCTTCTCACTCGGGTAGAAAAGGTCCTCTGCCACCACCTGAGTCCATCCCTATCCTCTACTTTCCAAGCCCCAGCTTTGGGGCAAGCAAGGCTGGTCAGTCTATGCCAAGGCCCGGGCCAGGGTGTGACTAAGAGGTGACATCACCTTCTTCTAAGGGTGCCTTCCAAGGGACGTTCCCTGGAGGCGAGGGCCGGCTAGGGACTCGAGGAATGAATTCCCAAGGAAGCTTCTCGACGCTGGGCATATAGTGGGCTGACCTGAAGAGGCCTGGGGGCCCTGTGTTTCCAGGGGAATAGGCCCTCCCCTAGGTGGCTGGAACTATGTCAGCTCCCCTGTGCAGTCCTGGGTCTCCTGGGCAGAGTTGGCAACCAATACACGATTGGATTACTCTTAAGAATCAGCAGTGGCAATGCCCTGGGTGCTTGCAACTCATTAGGGGAGTTGGCTGTGTGTGCAGCTGTTGCTTCCTCAAAGCCAAAGAAGAAAATGTCAGGGCTGGGGATTTAGCTCAGTGGTTCCGCTGCCTGCCTTGCAAGCGCAAGGTCCCGAGTTCGATCCCTAGTACAAAAAAAAAAAAGCAAAGAAGTGAATGCAACACATTCTTAAAATACAGATTTCCCATAGCCTTCCCCACACCACTCATTACAGTTAACGAATCCACATGGACACCCAGAAACCCATAGTTGCTCTTAGGTTTCATTTTGCTACTTTTTCTTGTTCATCCTATCTAGACGCAGACTATTCTGCTTTTTGTGCTCTTTTAGGTAGGTGTAGGGTTAGGTACCTAGATAACGTACGCTTTCCTTTTGAACTCATTGAGTATAAATTGCAGGTGTCTTGACAGTGCACCACCAACTGCTGTAGCTAAAACAGGGGACACGCTCCTAACATGATCACAATGTTGGTGCTCTGCTTAGACACTGAACGGTTCTGTAATGTTATCTAATGTCCAGCTCATATTCAAATTGGGTGGAACAGATTTTTTTGTATGGTCGAGGGAGGTATTAGACTGTTGCTCTTTTGGGACTTGCCTCAGTGGAAGGATGTAAGACAAAAGGAAATTTTGGTTATGAAAGTAATGCACGCTCCTTTGAAAGGTTTAAAGAAGGAAGTAAAGTCACCTGTCACCTCACCCATGTCTCAGGCCTTTTCTGTGAGTCTCCTGTCTTCTCTCGGGCTGGGTCCCGAGCCCACCCCACCACGCTCTGCAGATCACACGTGCCCTCTCTTGGGGACAGTGGCTGCATCTAACCAGGCCCTGTTCCCTCCAGCACCAGCAGCAGGTGGCTCAGGCGGTGGAACGTGCTAAGCAGGTCACCATGACAGAGCTGAACGCCATCATTGGGGTACGTGGACTCCCCAATCTGCCTCTCACCGTGTGTATAGCCCTTTTATTCCTCTCATTTAACATAACCAGAGGTGGACCCTGACCTTAGCTGGCCTCAAAGAATGGCGGCCCCAAAGCTTCGGCTTCCCCTATCATCTCACAGGCTTGGATCACTGTCCCCTGACTCCCTAATTGCCTCCCAGTCCCCAAACTAAAGGGACACCAGACACACCTCCTTCAAGTTTACTCCAAACCCAGGAGCCTCATTTTCCCCTGGCCTGTCAGGGGGCCCTGCTGAGGGCCTGGAACCAGCTCTGAGGCCAGGCCGCTGCCCTGTCCCTCCCAGGGCCTGGCTGCCTCGCCTGGCAGGGGCCTGCCCTTCTTCGGCCACTTGAGATCAGAACCATCTCTGGTGTACTGTTGACATGCACCGTGCTGGGGAATTGTGGTTTGGGTCATGCGGAGCTTCATGGCTGAGCATTTGTCGTGTGCCCTTGGGAGTTGGGTTCCAGCTGGACAGATAAATCATCTGATGGGATTTCTAAAAATCCCATCGCACCAGGACACAGCCCCTGCTGACCTGATGTGCAGTGGAAAGGAGAAACCCATCTCCCCCTTTACACCTTTCCCTGGCTTGCAGCTTAAATGCATTTCTTGGTTTTAGATCGCATCTTTCTCCTGCATGCTACTTTGATGCGAGGCTAAGGGTGTTTAAGATGAATGTCTTGAGTACAATGCTTTTTTTTTCTTTCTTCCCTGCTGTGACTTTGGGTGCGTCTATCTTCCTCTTGTCCCTGAAATGAAGTGGGTAGGTGGGACTGCTGCTTCCTCTCCCTCCAACAGTCTGGGCATCCTCACCCAAGGAACTTCTGGGCCACACAGATTCCAAAGTGCTTGCCCAGAGTTCTTTTCCCCAGGTCTGGGGCCTGGCTTTGGAATCTTGCTCCTGAGATTTCTCAAATCATTCTGAAGCGTAGTCAGGCTTGGGACATAACGGGCTGGTCGGCTGAGGCCCCTTCACTCTAACATTCTCTGGGACACTGGTTTGTCTTCCTTATTCCACTTTTTCTTCTTATATGGGGTCATTATGTCCAGGGGAAACCAGAAGCCCTGGGAATTTCTTCTATTTGGGATAAATGATGACTGTGGGATTTTCAGGGTGAGGCCTAGAAGCCCAGGATTTGCTCATGGTTCTTCCCCACATGACCTTGGGCAGGTCTTTTTTTTTTTGCCCGGGGACCTCAGTTCTGCATCTAAAAAGAGAAGATGGCCGGGTGTTGTGGTGCACACCTGTAATCCCAGCACTCAGGAGGCTGAGGCAGGAGGATTGCTGGGAGTTCGAGACCAGCCTGTTTCAGGGTGAGGCCTAGAAGCCCAGGATTTGCTCATGGTTCTTCCCCACATGACCTTGGGCAGGTCTTTTTTTTTTTGCCCGGGGACCTCAGTTCTGCATCTAAAAAGAGAAGATGGCCGGGTGTTGTGGTGCACACCTGTAATCCCAGCACTCAGGAGGCTGAGGCAGGAGGATTGCTGGGAGTTCGAGACCAGCCTGGGCTACATAGTGAGACCCTCTCATTCCAGGACCACTTGGAAGACAGAGATGGCCACCAAGACCTTTGGTGATGGCAGACCAGGAGGGTTGTCTTGTGGAAGCTGCTGGGGCGGCGAGGGAAGCCTGAGCAGAGCCTGCTTTGAGTCCTAGCTATGTTGGGGGAAGAGAGGTTCCAAAAATGCAGACGTGAGAGAGGGTTTGGCACCAGAAGGCAGTGCCCCCAGAAAGCAAATCATAAGATTTTAAAGTTGGAAGTGTCTTTCAGCAATTGTCTGACTGACGGTTCTTTGGCATCCTGTGCACTGTAGGAAACCCAGTGGCAGCGGCCCCCACACACTTCTGACACCCCAAAACTGACCCCAGACATTGCCAGTGTCTGCAGGGTGAAAGGGCTGCAGAGATGGACCACACGCCTAGCCCAATGCCTTTGTGTTACAGAGATGTTGAGCAGCCAAGCCAGAGATCAGGGCTTCCCACCTGTGTCCTCTGTCCCCTTGGTGGTGGTAGAGGGGCACAAGGAGAGCAGTTCCCCTCTCTGTATCCCTCTCTTGCAATGTCCTTGTCTTAGGTCTCTAGTCTCCGTTCTTCCACCCCTGCAGTGCTGCAGATGGGTACCCACTCTCTCCTCTGCCTCCCTTGGGTTTAAAATCCTCCTATGAAAATATTTTTTTTTAAGCTTTAAGAAAGCAGTAAAGATCCCCGGTACCAAAAAAAAAAAAAAAAAAACA